AGATGTATTAATCTTGTTCCATCAACGAGGATGACCATAATACCCTCGGGTGACTTTGGGTTGGGTTAGTGTGAGATATCATTTTTGTAATTGGCTAATTTCAGTGTCAAAATAAGTACGATCGAGTTGTAATTTTCAAGTTACAATATCAAGATCGAGATCGGTTATGGAATTGGAAAGTTGTTCAAGTTTAATAAACTATGATCTACGAAAAAAGTATGAACAATACTTTAGGAAGTTGTTTCCCACTTAGGACACTATACATATATGGTATGTTTTTTCAAAATTTCCAAACTTTTAAGCCTTCCCTTACAGTTTAGAATTTTAGTTTCATGTTCGTCTAAACTTCCTATTTGGTATAGATTTCATTCCAAAATCCTATGCATGAAATTGACTTGTTTTCCAAGTATAATTAGGCTTTCAAAAGTCTATAAATATATGTTTTCTCTCTTAAACTTTTAAGGCTTGAAAATATATATTTTTCTAATTGAGAGAATTGTTTGAAAGAGATTTTTATTTAGAAAATCAATCTGATTTTTTTTAATTTTATTTTTGAGAGCACACATATAAACACAAGAGTGATTTAGGAGTGTTGTTCTCTATCTCATCGGAATTGGAGCATAATTGAAAATTTAGAAATTTTGAAAAGCAAAATTCATTCTTTTTTCATCAAATTTAGATCTTGAAGAAAATGGGTGAAGCGATCACATTTTGAAGGGGTCAAAGCATTCGTGGAGCGTTGTTTGATTTACCTGCAACTCTTCTACAGAGATCAAGAGTAAGCCTGAGGTCGAGAGTTGTTGGACGGGGGAGTCCCAAAGCCAGGGATTGTCAGCGATTAGATTTTGGTAGAACGATAGGTTGTGAGCCTGAGTCAAAGTTTAGTGCACTTTACTTCAAACATAGTGGATCGTTTTGCTGTGGACTGCACAGTCTACGAGGTTTTTCCCATAACAATTGGTTTATTCTACCAATTGGGATTTCCTCACTAAAAATCCTGGCGTCATCTCTCAAACTTTATTTACTTTACTTGCATCTTTATTTTTGTTTTATGGGTTTGATTTTAGTTTTATTTCTGTAAAATTAAAATAAGTAAAAATTGAATAATGGAGCAAGTAAAACCTATTTACCACCCTCCTAGGTTATACCACCCTTCTAGGTTATAGGTTATTTATTCCTATTATATTACACAACCATTCCGCTGTGCACAACTCACAGTTAGGACTTGGTTAATGATCCGGACCTCCAAGTTTGGGTCATTATAGGTTGTGATCCTCATTGTTTTCTGCAATTGATATCAACCAACAAACATTGGTAGTTGAGTAGAGAGGACCACTCTTCCTATGACGTAGAATGATCATAACACCTCTAAAACCTTACACGGGTCTCCATTGAAGGTTATAACAAAACCTTCCTATGACAATTGTTCTACCAAAATCAGATTCTTCCTCAAGTTAGGAATGTGCCTCATCCTTCAATTTGCAAATAGACCCATTCACCTCCGCACTTCACCATCGCTAACAACGTTGCAGGGCTGATCGTTCCCAAGAGACACCTTCCCAAGGTTACCCGGTATATAGTTATCTAATAGCTCACTACTTGAAGTAGCATAAAACGAGGCACCGGAATCCAATACCAATAACTCTGCCTTACTTTCCAAAAAGCACGTCAGTGCATCATCTAGATTCTTCTGAGACCATATTTGCTTATATTTTCCCTTCGGTTTCTTTCCTCATAAATATGCAATCTCTTTGGTAGTGACCTACCTTGCCATAATTATAACATTTATCTTCACTTTGATCTGTGGAATTCTTGGGATTTTAAGACTGTGATCTTCCATTCTTTGACTTGGATATATGCCTCTTTTTTCATTTCCATTGCCTTTATTCTTATTAGAATCTTTGCCTCTATTTTTAACATTCAAAGTCGAATCACTAGTAAAAATCCCTGCTGTTTGCCTTCTAATCTCCTTAGTCAATCATGCTCACAACATCGTCGATTTTCAACTTAGACTTTGCTATAGAGTTATTAATCACAATAACTATGCCACCCAACTCTCGGGTAATTACCTTAAAATTAGTAGTGCTCGCACCTCATCTTTGAAATTGATATTAAGAGACTCTAATTGGCTCACAATCTTGTTGAACACATTTAGATACTCATTGAATCTTCCACCTTTGCCCATTTTTAAGTTGAACAACTTCTTAATCAAGTATACCTTTATTGGCTATAGAGAACTGTTCATACATGCAAGAAAGAACTATCATGAGAGATCATTGTATTCTTGTTGTTGATGTTGAAGGCAACTGACTTACACAACATCAATATGATGGTGCCAAGAGCTTTCCAATCAAGTAATTCCCAATTCGAATCCTTAAGATCCTCTAGTTTCTCTCCCAGATGTTGATATAGATTCTTCTGAAATAAGAAATCCTCAATTTGCATCTTCTAGAAAAACCAAAGTTTGTGCCAGCGAACTTCTCGGTCATGGATATGGATGTTGGGATTTGTAAGTGATTTTTTATATGGATTATAAGTACACTATTTCTTATCTGAAATGATATTTATGCGTTGTACAATTGATGAATGTATATATATTATGTTCCGATTCATAAGGGAATTAAATATGTCTACTTAATTGCAAGAGATATTTATATGTATATGATGAAGGTCAATACATGAGTATAAAAAAGTAATCATAAATAGTTCGTAGTTGGTAATTAAAGATGGATTCTTAATTAACTAAGATATAACCCGGATTTGTGATGGGATGAGATATATTACGAAAACTGTCGTATGAAATTGTTCCCCGTCACTGTCATGACATTTGACTCTCAAGCATGAAATAAGTATAGACTATTTTATTTATTAATAATTACTTTGATTTGTTCGGTGGATATTCAGGATCATTTGACCAATTCTTTGGGTAATTATCAAATTAATAGTTAGAGGGTTATATTCTCAATATTCGCATCGATACTATTTGTATTTATTTTGTATTGATTATGATTGATCACAAAGTAAATTCGAACGTCTTCATGTGTTTTAGACAAAATAGTTTTTTATTTTATGTATTTAAATACTAAATTATTATTTTTGTCAAACAAATATTTTATTGTGATCAAATTAAAAATAATCAAGGAATCAAAATAAATATATTAATTATGCTGTCAAATTGATGCCTTTAATTTTCTTATAGCTAATTATGCATAGAGGGGTCAAAGTGCAATATTGACTTAGTGATTATTTACTATTTGATTGGAGGTAAATTAATTTGTTTTAATGGAATAAAAACTAATTTATGAATTAATTGAATTGGGTTCATGGTAATTGGACCAGGTCAATTATTGATTTATTAGAGTCAAGAAAATAGTATGCCTAAGGGATTCTCAACATGATGACCTTGTATTGTTAGTAAGTCTTGGAACACTATTTGTGTGTGAGGAATATACTACAAATTAAGGTTTAGTGTTCTCATCTTTAAGGAACTCCCACAAGCTTATCCACCAAGGTCTTTCATAGAGGCATATGAGTGAATCTTAAAGGCAAGACCATCACCTTCAAGAATGAGGTCCAAAGAAGAAGGATCTAACTCGAGGGATCTTTAATATAAGTGAGAACATTCACTTTGGAGGAGGAATTTGAAGCTTTCTCAATCCCTTGATGTGAGTATTCTAACTCTAAATGTATGAAACATCATATTCTTCTTTGCACAAAACTTGTCTCTGTACATGAATCAAAGTTTAATGATCAAGTGCCCTCAAAAAAAAGTTTTCAAAATCTCCATTTCCTTAACAATGGATGCATTAGCTTTTGATGTCATTACTCCCACTCAAATGAACAGGTCAGAATACGAAAGATTTCACCAAAAATTCGTCAAACACCTTTTGTGCTCAAGGTTCTCAAACCAAGGCTGTAATACCAATTGTTGTGGAAGAAATCATAAACAACGATGTCCAAGGAATAAAATACACAAACAATCACGAAGAATAAATACAATCACACAACAACATATGATATAAGTGGTTCACCCAGCTTAAGGGATACATCCACAGAGAACTACTATAAAAAAAAATTAAAAAAAAAAATAAAAAAATGAAAGATTACAATGCAAAATTTCCTTACAATCTCTCTCTTACATAGGCACAATACAATTCTCACTTAATATGGAATACAAAAGAAAACAATTACGGCGGACTTATTTTATCAAGGGACAATGCAATGGAATATTAACCTTATCAATCATGTTTTCAACCCTCGGGATCGGGATTTAATTCTTCATACTCCGTTGCGGCGGTCTCGGGGAGTGGACAAACTTATTTGGGGTGCTTCTTCTAATGGCTCCTTTTCAGTTAAGAGTGCTTACGATGTGGCTCTAAGCATGGTTCACCCTCTTGAGCCGTCTCCATCTTTGACCTCTTGCAGCCATGTTCAAGAGTTTAAACCTCACTGGAGGGAGTTATGGTCTATCAATACTAAGCGCAAGATTAATGGTTGTGCGTGAAGGCCTCTACTTGCTTTCTCTCTGGGGGTATCAAGATGTGGAGGTGGAGAGCGATTGTCTCAATGTTTCAAACCTTTCTCCCTTGAATTGCCGTTCGGCCATTTTGGTTGAGGATATTGGAAGTTTGCTGGGTTCCAACTTGGGGTTCTCCTTAGGATGGGCTCCTCGTTCTTGCAATAGAGTTGTCCATTTATTGAGTAAATGGACTTTGTCTAAAAAGTGTAATGATTTTCTCTGGTCAGTGTGGCCTGTTTGGTTGCTTTGTCAGTTCTTGGGGCTTCAGTTGATGTTGCCTTGTTGTAGCCTTTGTTCCTTTAGGAAAAAAAAAACACAAAAGAAAACAGTTACAGTAAATAAATATATTAGATGCATAAATCTACGGTAGATTAGAAAAGGAAAGGAAAAAAAAAAAATAATAATCATCTTAGAAACTCAAATTTGAAACTGACATGAACAAAATACAGGTAATATATTATATATATATATATTATATAGAATAAGTAGTTAACGGTAGATGCAAGTAGTTAACGTAGAAACTTATGAGAAGAAGACTTGATACCATCTCAGAAAAAGAGGTCCAACAAAACCCAAAATGCCACCTCAGTCCCAACCCAACAAAATCTACTTCTACTACGGCCACCGGCGACCGTCCCAGAACCGCCCCACCGTTCACGGCGGTCTCTTCTCCAACCGTAAAACCATAAACCCTAATCCTAACAACCCCCAAACCCAAAACCATAAGCACCAATTCGATCAATGCACCGATTTTGATATCCGAAAATGGGACCCAGACTCACCCACCTCCCTATCAGCTCCACCCACCATGACTCCATCGGAGAAATTCTTCTCCATGGCGCAAAACCTCTCTCCGATCGCCCGATACATTGTCGATTCCTTCCGGAAGCACAAGAATTGGGGTCCCCTGGTCGTCGCCGACCTCAACAAGCTCCGTCGTGTCACGCCGAAGCTCGTCGCCGAGGTCCTCAAAGTCCAGACCGACCCAAGATTCTCTTCCAAGTTCTTCCACTGGGCAGGTAAGCAAAAAGGCTATAGACACGATTTCGCTTGTTACAATGCATTTGCTTATTGCTTGAATCGAACAAATCAGTTTAGAGCTGCCGACCAGGTGCTCGAGTTAATGCACATGCAGGGGAAGCCACCTAGTGAGAAACAATTTGAAATTTTGATTAGAATGCACTCAGATGCTAGTAGGGGTCTTAGGGTGTACTATGTGTATGAGAAAATGAAGAAATTTGGAGTGAAACCAAGGGTATTTTTGTTCAATAGGATAATGGATGCACTTGTGAAAACGGGTCATTTGGATTTGGCAATGTCCGTTTATGGTGATTTTAAAGAAGGTGGATTGGTTGAAGAGAGTATTACTTATATGATTTTAGTTAAAGGTTTGTGTAAGGCAGGAAGGATTGATGAAGTGTTGGATCTTTTGAGTAGAATGAGGGGGAACTTGTGTAAACCAGATGTATTTGCATACACGGCAATGGTACGAGTGTTGGTTTCGGAGGGGGATTTGGATGGGTGTTTGAGGGTTTGGGAGGAAATGCGGAGGGATGCGGTTGAGCCTGATGCTATGGCTTTCACTACTTTGATTATCGGTTTATGCAATGGGAACCGGGTTGAGAAGGGTTACGAGCTGTTTAAGGAGATGAAACAGAAAGGATATTTGATAGATAGGGCAGTGTATGGGTCACTGATTGATGCCTTTGTGGTGGATGGGAAGGTTGGTTCAGCTTGTGATTTGCTGAAGGATTTGATGGATTCGGGGTATAGGGCTGATTTGTCCATATATAATTCTCTTATAGAAGGTTTATGTAATGCAAACTGGGTTGATAAGGCTTATAAGCTTTTCCAAATTACAGTTCAAGAGGATCTCGAGCCAGATTTTATGACTGTGAATCCAATGTTGGTTTGTTACGCAGAATTGAGAAGAATGGACGACTTCTGCAATTTGCTTTTGCAGATGCAGAATTTGGGGTTTAGTGTCATTTATGATCTTTCCAGATTCTTCTCATTAATGGTGGGTAAGGAGGGTCGAACTATGATGGCTTTAGAGATTTTTGAAACGTTAAAGGTGAAAGGTTATTGCAGTGTTTCAATTTACAATATCCTTATGGGTGCTTTCCAAAAGATGGGGGAGGTGAACAAGGCAGTATCACTGTTCCATGAATTAAAGGACTCGAATTTCGAACCTGATTCCTCGACTTACAGTAATGCAATTACATGTTTTGTTGAAATTGGAAAGATCCAAGATGCATGTGCATGCTATAATAAAATAAAAGAGATGTCTTCGGTTCCCTCTGTTGCTTCCTATTATTCTCTTGTTAAAGGGCTCTGCAAAATCGGAGAAATTGATGCAGCTATGATACTCATTCGTGACTGTCTAGCAAATGTTACAAGTGGGCCCATGGAGTTTAAATATACTCTCACCATTCTACATGTTTGTAAATCAAATGATGCTGCGAAGGTAATTGAAGTTTTAGATGAGATGATACAGCAAGGTTGTCCTCCTGATGAAATTATATATTCTGCTATTATCTCTGGCATGTGCAAACATGGAACAATGGAAGAGGCAAGAAAAGTGTTTTCAAATATGAGAGAGTGCAAACTTCTAACGGAGTCCAATTTGATTGTTTATGACGAGATACTTATTGATCACATGAAGAAAAAAACAGCAGATTTGGTGCTGTCAGGATTGAAGTTTTTTGGTCTGGAATCCAAGTTGAAATCGAAGGGGTGTACATTGCTCTCTAGTTGAAAATGCGAATCCAGGTTCTAAATCATTAAACTGGTTTGTTGCTAAGATCTTTTAATGTATATACAAAGTAAGTGTTCCGTTATATATGAGCGTAATATAATTGATTTTGGGTCTTGCCTGAACCAGATGGATCATATCATATTTTAAATAATTTTGCATAGATACAGACATATTTGCAAAACAATTTGAGTACATGGACACGAACAAATCCCAGTGAGGACATGGTAGCATACAAATATAATTATAATTTTTTTTAATTATATACATTTATAATGTAAATATCTGTAGAAATTATAGTATATTAATATACTTCTACTCTTTATAATTTTATCTTTACAATACACTACTGTCTTAATATATTTATATCTTTGCAATTATATTCTTAAACTCTATTTAAAAGTATTGCTTTCTTGAATTATTGTTGCTTTGTGTATTTTTAGGAATGTCAGGCGTAATTCCAATAAGATGTGTTTTCATTTCTTAAGCCATATTCTAGTTATCAAAAAAAAAAAAAAAAAACTCAAGTCATATGCTGGGGAATTCGTAGATGTTTCATCTAAATATGCAAACATAATAAAAATTATTTTGAATTATAGATACATCCATACTTATCCCCATATATATATATACACACACACACACATCCACAAGGTGCAGGTCAATTGTCTGAGAGTATCCATGAAGTTTCACTGGCCAATTGGATCTTATCATTTGAGACCAAATTCTGACAGTAGTTGTGGTTGGATTAAAATCAATTTTAATAGATTTGATAGGGCTTGGATATTTTTGCAGTTTTAGTAGGGTATATGCTTGTATTCGTGGTGCTGCGTTGCTCTAAATCCTTCTATTATTATAATGCCCAAATTTTTGTTATTGGAGTAAAGTATTTTAAACGTGATTAAGGGTGTTCTGAAAATTGTATTTGCTTGGCTATCCAATGAACTTGAAATTTATAACTTTGGATGCTGAACTAGTATGACCAATCACAGGGAATCAGGGACGGTGGATATCCGTCACACAATACTCATTTGTGAGCTCTTTTGTCATGTAGGAAAGTTGATTTTGAGATCTCTGTTGGGAACTTGCATGTATAGGCAAATGATATGCCAGTTTCGCATGCTTTATTTTTATCTATGTTTTCTTCAACTATTATTTTTGTTGTTTTTTATTGCAAATAAAAACTTTATTACAATGGATGAAGGGTGTACCTGAGAAAGGGTGAGTTCAACTCGGGCAAAAGATAGAAGTGAAAGAAGTGGTCCATGCGTTTCTTGCGATATGTCTATATCAAGCAACTCCCTTGAGTGTGCTTTAGCAACAGCATCAAATGCCTTGTGTTTCCTTGCAGTAAATTAAACCAAACTAGTCTTTGCTTGCTCCTTTCTTAATATTCAGGGTGAGTAAATCAAAATGTTGAATTGAATCTTAAAATCTTAAAAAATAAAAGGAATGCATTTTCCTCACCAAAAAAAAAAAAAAAAAATGAGTAAAGCATTTTGTTCTGTCTTACAGATTGTTTCTTATGTTAAATTTATTTATATTTCATGAGTTTAGACTTGCCTATTGGTCTTTGCAGGTTTATTATGTTCATCTTCAAAAAGCTGGCGCACTTGTTGTGGTTGAAGGAAGATCCAGCTGCTGATTCAGTTTTTTAAAGAATCAGAAATGTTGATTGTTTCACCATTGCTTTAGGTTCTCTAAATGAGTAGGTTGATCTCTCCTGCTCCTGTGGTCACTTCAGCTGTTATATCTGCATACTACTACGAGGTCTTACCGAAAAGGATGAAATCAAGCCACAGGTTCCCCATACACGAGATGGACACTTCTTGCCCGATGGACTTATTACACTTATGGGGTATTTTGGTTTGCCACTGCAGCTTCGCTCCCTAAATAGGCTGATTTTTGCCTCGATCATGCATTCACTCTGCTTCCTCTATGTTGTAGAGCATTTTGGCACCATAAGAGGATGAGATAATTAATGAGACCACCACAACACACCAATAGTCAGAAGTAATGTCATGGTTGTTAATTGCAATATGTAGAAATGGGAACCATCCGTGATTTCATTTTTACTGCACAAGATATGCGAAGAACTGGGATTCATTTGTTACAGTTCACTGCCTCACTAGAAGCTATATGGTTTCTAGATTCATGACCAAGTTTGAGAGGAAACACCAAAATTCAGCTTCAGAGGATTTGTATAGATCCCCTATATGCTTATCAGGCTGGAATGAGAATTTATTTGAGTTGTGGTTGGCTTTAGTGGCTTTTGGACATCATCAGGTCAGGACAATTCTCACGGATAATTTTTCATTGTGAAAGTTCAGATCCCCATTCTTGTCACAACTCCTGCTTCATGTAGACGTACTTCTGAAGTGAAATAAACTGTGGCAAAGAACCATAAGGGTCAAAAAACTTGAGGGACTTTTAAAGTAGTGTGATGCTGGACAGGGAAATGCAGTTCAACTGTGTGAGGGTTGCAGAATTTGCTTGAAGCTGAATTTGTCGTTTGCTGCCTCGGTGATCCCACCCGTCGCGCTAAAGATATATATGCTGTACGCTTCCTTATTTTGTACATAACGTATTTGCTGCCTTGATGAATCTGCCTGCTCTGCCGAAGATATATACTAAGCACCTATCGTGTACGTTGTAGATAGTGGATCAACTTATTCTTCTAGCATGGGGAACCTCGTCCTCTTGTTAACATTTTTGTAGTCAAAGCCCAGCCAGTAACGGAACTTTTGGTTGCTATCCGTTCAAGCTTCATGGTAATATGTAGTTTTACTCATTTATTCCTACCGATGGCGATGAAACTCATAACTTATTTTCATCTTTCTGGTAGACTTGAGCCCTCAATCTTGTGAGAGGAGGAGAATACCACTTGAGAAAAGCATTGGTTGTAAGGAACCACACTTCTTGGGAAAAGCTTTGAAGTTCTTGAAATATTAGCATTTGGAAGTTGGTTATTGAATTCAAAGTAGCTTAAGTCACATAATTTTTGTTCATTACGAATGTTGAATAATTTGGAAGTTTTGAGGTAAGACATTGAATAAGGTATGTGTAAATGTCTGAGTCTCAGAAACCTCTGTTCGGTTGGATATCTTGTTACGTACTATGTTTCTTGAAGTATCTTCAGTTAAATTCTGTAACCCTTAAATTTCTCGATGGCATTTGCTTTTATCCTCGTTTGGTTTGTGATGGGGCATGCCGTTGAGCATACTTGGAGCTAGGAGAGGGTGTATGGTGGGAAAGCAAGCTCGAGATGCTTGAAGGGTTTTTCCCCTCTGTGGGGGTTTTTATGACATGAGAGGAATATGAGATCCTTTGAAGAAGAAGAGACTCCTGTTTGGATGTTTAATAGGGTTTTTCTTTTTCTTATTACATGTCCAAGCTTCAAGTCATTTTAATTCTCATTCACTTGTTATGAGTTCCTAATCGAAATACTTTCTAGAAATATAAGTTTCAAGCCCTCTCTAGGAGTTTTCTCTCTAAGCATCTGCTAGCTTTCTCACCGGTGCAAAGTAGATAAGGGGGGCAATGGTGGTGCAACACCTGCCTTATGATCTTTTACGGGAGAAATTATTGCATGGTCCTACAATCATAATTTGACACTTGAGCAAATGTGTCGAATAATCTTTATTCATCTTTTTACTCATGTTAAATAGTGAATGGTCGGCATCATATAATAATTTCCCTTTTTTTTTTTGGGAAGGTGATAATTTCTCTTTTCACCAATGAAAAGTATATAAGGAGGAGCCCAACGGGTGTAATTGATGGATCCAAAGGTTTTAAAAGTGGGCCCCGATGGACATGGTCCCAAGAGAATTGGGTCCACATTGCAAGTGATATTGGAAACCAACAGCCCACGATGAAATCAAAATTCATTCCACCGTCATTAACAGCTTGAGTTGCCTGAACCCTAACTTCAGCCATGAGGAGAATCAATTTTACAAGAAATTATGTGGAGATTGAAGCATCTTCTAATTAATCTTCTGGATAACATTCTCATTTGGGTGTCTTTGAAAACAAATACTTAAATACGAGACATGACCTAGAATTAATAGGGTGGGAGCACTTTAGGTCTGGTCCTCAGGCAACACCGCCACTTGTTCAGTTGCCCGTAATATTGAGAAAGAGAGTTCGAAAAAATCAGGACACTGCAGCATCTGAAGAGAGTTCGAAAATTTTAACAGTGCATCCCTGAACTAAGACATGTTTTGGAGGTTGCCTACTGACCAAAGAGCTTGGATTTAGTTGCTCGAGCACTGATAGCTAAAGAATCTATGGAAGATTACTCTATTCATTTTTATACTCTTCAAATAAATTTCAGTTTTTTGTTTGTTTTCTTGTCCTCAAATCTCCGTGCAGATTTTTGGTTTATTCACAAGGTCCGGTGGTATTAGGGTTTTTCGAACAAAATGTATAGCCTGAGCACGGAGGTAATACCCTTGCAATTTGTATAGTGGTTCACATACCCTTGTTAATTTTCAACCTAATCTTACTTACGAGAGAGAAGGAAAAAAAAAATAAAAAAAAATTGGGCTTTGGGAAGAAACATCTCTAAGCCTGAGTTGTGTTTTTTTTTTATGAAGAAAAACTTCAATTTAACAGGATTGCAATCAAGCATATAAAAATCTTCAGAAAAACTGACACAGAATTGTCAGCTTTATACTTCCAATAAAGTAGGATTCCAAGAACTGATCTGCCATGAACTCCCTTAGAAAGAATCAAATGGTTACATTAATCATTCTAATAGTAACGAGCGCTTACAACAATTAAAAAATTTAATTCCTTATAAAATACACAAACATTTCGATTCAAAATCCAAGTTATATAAACAATATATTACCACAACTGAACTCTAGTTGCTTCCCTTATATTGAATCAACTAAAATAATGAAGTTACATTGATCAAGTCTAAGCTTCCCGTTTGGGCCGATTACGAGTGCGTGGAAGTGCAGGTTCTTTGTCTAAAGAAAGGCCAACATCACCATCCTCCTCATCATCTGCTTCCAATAATTCTTGATTAATTGCAATCTGTTACGTCCAAAACTAAAGTCAAGAACAGCCGTTGAGTGGAAGAATCATTTAACAAAAATAAAAAGTTCTTTCTCAGATGCATCGTGACACTCTCCAAAGCTCAAGAGTATTCCAAATTGCACCGGACTGAGACGACAAAGAATACAACCCCACACAAAAGAACCAGTCATGACTATGATAAAAGAAAAGATCTTCTGCGATTTAAACAGTACTCAGCTCAAATTCATGCAGAACAAATGGCTATAAAGTATTTAATATATATATTTGCTAAGGGCTATAAGGTATTTAATAAATGACACTGAGGAGCTAAGATCTGCTGAGTTGATTAGTTGTAGTATTCGATAGTTCAAATAACATTCAGGCTATCACTAGTATTGCAAATGTTCCAAATATTCCCAAAACTCTAAATAAATTTGTCAAATGAAGGATTTAAATACTAAGTAAGAGGTAGAAGCTCAATCTCACCATAACGGCCAGGACTGATGGCCTGAAGTATACGAGTGTAAGAGAATTCATAAAGAAAATATGAGTCTTGCAAACTAATATCAAATATTTCCTTTTCATTTATTTATTTCTTTTTCTGAATCTCCTTCATAATACATATCTTCAAATATCCTTAAATGTACTTCCCTTCTATGAATACCTACAATTACAACCACTAAGCTGTATGTCAATACCACTATATGAATGATGCAATTCTTTTTAGTGTGGTATGTTAAATCCCCCACATACATCTAAAAAGACAAACTGATTTCAATAAAATACACAGTGTCCATAGGATTCTATTTTCCAGGTTAACCATTTTCTTCTTCGATCAGTTGATTAATCCTATAATCTATAATCACACTTTTTGCCCTAGAAGTACAAAATCAAAATCAAAGCATACCAATGCATTGGAAAAGCAGCTGCCAACTGACAATAGAAGTACACCTCTTCACTTACACTTGCTAATACACTATGCAAATTAGACCTATACACTCATTATTGCCAATACACTTATAATACCGTTCTTAGTTGCAAATGGACAAAATATCTCATTTAAACCTCCTTGTTTAATAGCATTTCTTGGCTGACCTTGCCAGTCATCCCATTTAGCACCCTTGTTATGTTGTCACACAAAACATGAATAAAAAATAATTTAAAACAAAAAATTTATCACCAAAAAAAAAAAAAAAACCTAACCCTGTTGTCTAGAAACCACACTATTTCATATATCTTTATAGTGCTTTGACATTCATCAAGTTAAATGCTTCATCAGGAGTTCAACACCTCTCTGGCTTCATAAAACAGCACAACTTATAATAATTTATGATTTAGCTTGCTATATTAGGCTATTAGCTTGATTATTTCCACTAATGAAAAAACTACCTTGAGATAACCGTACCGTATCACTCATTATCTTAATGATTCTCATTGTGCGAAGAACTGTCATTTCAATAGTTCTTCGACGAGACGACGACTACAATGATAAGCATGAAAATAACAATAATTCATCCAATATTTTTTTCCAGGAATGCCAAATGAATGAAGGAGAAATACTTTAGTACTAATTTATAAAAATAGGGGAATGTACACAGCAATTATCAAGGAATTAAATTAATGAGGTATACAATGAAACTATTAAAAAAGGTGATGGAATAAATATTAAGAATAAGAAAGGAGGCAGTGTCTCATAACTAATTTGGGTTTATGCCAAGAAGATCTGCAATGGACGACGCCATTTACTTAATAAGACAATTTGTTGAAGATTGTCGGAATAAACAAAAATATTTACATATGAAACACATATGATGGGGTACTGAGAGATATAATTTAGTGGACTTTACAAAGAAAACAATTCTTTATAGAACTTAGAAAGATTATTCTGGATAGTTATAGAAAGAGAGAGACTGAAGTTCGTTCTACATGCGGCGAGACTGTAGACTTTTCTATGTATGTAGGATTGCACCAAGGATCAGTTCTAAGCCCATATCTATTTACAATGATTTTAGATGAAATAACGAAAGGCTTACAAAACAATATTTCATGATGCATTTTGTTTGATGATGATGGTGTATCACTGGATACTTCTAAGAAAAACTTAGCAATAAAGTTATGAATATAAAGAAAGGCATTAGAGTTAGAAGGCTAGAAAATTAATATAACTAAAACATAATATATGGAATGCAAATTTAATAAAGTGTCAGAAATGCTATTATAATGATAACATTTCAAAACCACTGGATTATAGAAAAAAAATAAAAATAAAAATAAAATATAAAAATAAAAATCAATATTTGGGATCAATAGTACAAAAGGATGGAGAGATAAAGGATGACATAAATACTAGAATTGGTCATATTGGACAAAATTGAGAAAAACTAATGGTATTTTGTGGTATTAAAAAAAAAAAAATCAAATAAGCTAAAAGGAAAATTCTAAGACTGCTATTAGGTCAACTATCTAATACAAAGCAGAGTGTTGGACTTTAAAAAAGAAATAACACATGAACACAGTTATGTAACTCAAATGAGAATGTTAAGATAGCTGGTAGGAGTGACTAGAAAAGATAAAATTACTAATCAAAATATGAGGGTGAAATTAGGAGTGACACCTATTAGTGATAAAATAAGAGAAACTAGACTCATTTAATATGAACATATATAACAAAGACCTATATTATATGAAGAGAAAAATCAGTTGGCATAAAGGCAAGAGACAGAGGCTGACCAAAACTAACATGGGATGTAGTTATTAGAAACGATTTTTAAAAAGTTAACTATAATATGAGAAATGGATTGTGATAGAAAAGTTAAATAGAGTTCATGTTGCGGAATCCATTCATATGGGTTTAAGGCAAGGATGATTATAATTTCTTCTAGTATGGATATGTTTAAGCTTCAAACAAATTTCAAAAGATAAATTTGATTTCAATAAAATATTTAAGGCCTACAAGGTTTCCGTTTTTGAAACGATTTTTAATTTTTATTTTCATTTTTGGTTGAAAAATGAAGACGTGTCTGGTTAATTTTTTTTTTATTTTCCATTTCAAATAATTGTTCAAGGCACAGCAACTCCAAATTATTAAAGAGAACAGTTTTCGACAATAATACAGCAAATGGAAAATTTATAAGAGAGTTTTACATACAATGTGTAATGAATTTGAATTACGGATATACTTAGTAGATCCATGTCCAATTATACATTTTAAACACATCCCATAAGTATTTGTGTTAGACATGGGTACTTCACCCATTTAGAAGAGTCCTTATATCACAAGTGATTCTATAGCCAGTTTGCACAAACTAAAATTCTCAAGTACTATTGGATCTTTTGCCGTCTACATTTAATCTTACTTTTCTTTTCTTTTTTTTTCTCTGAAATCTAGTTGTGCTTGTGGACATTTAAACCTTGCAGCTGGAGGCATGAATCATGACCCTATGCGTTCTTTTCATAGTACCAAAATGGTAGCAAAATGAAAAGTTCTCCATGATGGTCCAGTCTTCTACTTGGACCATCCAGCCATCATTGCATCAATTCTCAGTCCCCTGTTTATTATAGTAGATGTTGCGGATCCATGGGAAATTGCTAATAAATTACTGTAATTTAAGCTTCCAGTCACAAACGGACTGTTATTCACCACTATCACAAAGCTAACCAGGTTGTAGATAATTTGCCTAAATAGTTTGTGACTAGAGATCAAATAGTTTTTTTTTCTTTGGCTTTGTCTCCATTACCCCCACGTCATTAGGTTTCTTAAATTTGTTTTTTTTCTTTTATAAGTAAAACTGACATAGAGCACACAAAAATGGGTAGCAATCAAGTATAGGTCATGAATGTTTAATGTAGGCTATGTAGCTACTCTTAGATGTGCTTGTGCTACATAAGACTTATTTGGGGCAAGGGTCTGGGATGTGTCGACTATATATCTGGGATGCTTCTACCAAGTGTCCAATGCAATAAATTTTATTTTTAGACCATGGAGACCACAGTTTCATAGAATTAGCATCTGTAATAAAAAAAAATTAGGGAAAGGTTCAATTACGTGAGGTATCAAATTATTCATGTTTGACATAAACATGCTTAAACAGTATCCAAGCAAAAAAACACATGCTTAAGAAAAAAATAGGGAAAGGTTCATTTAGCATCAAATTATTCATATTTGACAAATAGAAAAACCTTTAAGCAAGGACTATGGTGTATGGATATAATGCTAAGTCAACACATCAACACTCTCTGTAATACCTATCAATGCCACCAGGCCCACCACATTATATATAGTAAACTTGTATCTTCAAATTACAGACAGACAAATGTGTTATCTGCACTCCAACAGCAAATTGCTAGTATTAGATGTTTGAGTCAACATTTCTAATCTAATCCCTCTGATAAAATCTTATGTAACACAAAAATAAGATAGATAGCTCAACTATTTCTTAAAAAAAAAAATTCGATTAGGCAAACATGTTGGTATATTATCATTTGTGCATTTCATCAAACATCTAGTAGCCTTGTACTAAAACCCAAATAGTTTCCACATTACAACCATCAAATCAACCAAGATATTCAAAGTGACCTCATTTCAACCAAACCAAAAACAACCATAATCATTCTATTATAGCAATTCAATTAAAAAATTGAACTGGGTATATAAAAACTAAACATAAATAATTGCAAAAACTAGTTAATAGCACAAACCAAATACCTCCTCGAGAAATTTTTTGTCGAGCCTATCGGCGATTCTGATAGAAGTAAAGATTGTGATAGCGAGAAGAGAGAGTGGCAAGACGAAAGCAAAGATGTAGTTGCTGGTGGTGGGGCCTGCGCGTGTCACAAGCGACAAGTGTCTTCTTCGGCGACCCAAATCGACGGTGAAGCGAAGCGACCGCGAGTTGGATACATAGGGGGTGTTGAATAGAGTTCGTGGTGCTAGTTTGTGGTGGTGAGTTAGCGCGAGAGTGGAAGAGGAAGGGTTTGAGATGATTAGTGTCGCCATTGTTTCGGTGGGCCTAAGGCTGGTGCTTCAATCCCATAAATATTAAACTTTTGTGTATATATAAAGGCCCCGTTGTTACAAAATATTTTCAAATTATAGGCTGGGTTGGGAATCAAAATCGTCTCTAATAAATTATTTATTTATTTTCATGGCCATAAAAATAATAAATTTTATCATTTAAATTTTAAATGGTAAAATTCTTTATGTTAATTAAAATCCATAAAAATGATATATTTAAATATTTAAATTATTCAAATTCAAAATGGTGGAGTTTATGAGAAATTTACCGTTAAAAGTGCTGAATTTTTAAAATAAAAATGATGAAATTGCACCTAAGGTAACATCAAGAAAAATTATTAAAGATGATTTGAATGAACAGTTTGGCACACATGAATGAAATAAAGTGAGATTGCACAAGAATTGTGTAAAAATGAAATGGTCCCTTTCATATTTGAAAATTATGAAATGAGATAATAATGACATGATCATCCTTTTGGAATTTGGATTTGAAATTGAAAAAGGAATTGGGATGGAGGTAAATAGAATTTCATTTACACGTTTGGATGTGAAATTTAAATAAAAATGAATTACTTTCTTATATTTGGATGTAAAAAAGAATTGGAAATGAAAGTAATTTTATACCATTTTACCGTATTAATTTGTGTGTGGTAGAGCATATATTGTAAACACCATATTTTGGTCCCCTCCCATATTACGCTTATTTGTTGTTAATCGAACTTCAAATGGTCCATCAATCCGTTAAATTATGGAGTCCAAAGACTCAACATCTGCCCCAAGGGTGAATTTTACCATTTTCCTACATTTTGAATTATTCCCATTGTTGGATCGTGGAATTGAGTGCAAACTGGGCCTAAATTAGGGTTTTAGTACCTTAATTTCGATTCAGCCGACATTGGAGGGTGGTAATCCCTTATCAAAGTCAATTAATTGGTTCAAAATGTTAATTTGAATCATAATCCATTCAAATTAGCCTACTCAATTAAGCCAATTTTGTGAAATCAGAAAAGTAGGGCTTTTGGACCCGCATTACCCATTTTTTATTTTTCAAATATCTATTTTCCTATCATCAAACACTCAAATTGATAATTCCATGATGCAATTTATCTCATTTTATCCAAAAACCCTCAAGTTCTCCTCTCGTTCGAGTTACTTTTACTTTTGAATCGAATTCAAACCATCTGAGTCGTCTAATCGTGACTACAATTCCCAAATTCTTCGATCTTCATGTTGCCATTATCAAATCACCAAATTGATAATTTCAGCACTCAAAATTTCACTCAGGCCTCCGGACTGTCCGATCACGATCTAAGTCACACAATCTTCCTCAACAGGTGTCGCTCTCACGCTCCGAGCGCGATTCCGCTCTTATACTTCGCGCACGCTCTCGCTCAAATTTTCATTATTTATGACATAATTTTACCGCTTTTACGCTCTCGCTTTCGAATTCGCTCTCGCTCTTGTTCTCGTTCCCGCTTTACGTGACTTAGATCATGATAAATAAAAAATTATAAAATTCTTATTTAATTTATTTTTTTCAGATAATTACTGATTTTTGGTCCACCTAATTTTGAAAAGGACATTTTTTAGTTCTTTTTAGCATCCTAAAAGTGTTATATGCCTCCAAACATCCTCTAAACCTCTCCAACTCCTTTCTAATCCCACCAAAGCTTAAAACCAATCTTCTCTTTTATTAAATCAGCTTGGGATAATCCTCTATTGAAGACATAAAAATCTTCTTCTTCTTTTTTTTTTTTTTTTTTTAAGAGGGAGTTTCCAACACTTGAAGATTTGAGTTAAAACGAGCAAACGAGCAAATCTGATCAAAGGCAGTCTCTTACTCTTATTTTTATTTTTAGAAGACCCAAGGTAGGGTTTCCAAACCTTCTTCTTGTATGCACTCCCCCTTCTGTAGATGCATTAATATGATTGTCTTTTTGATTTTTTTCTCTCTCTCTCTTTACATCTTTTGAGCCCATATTTATGTCCAAATATCTTGCTTGCCAATCTCTCTGAGTTTGACTGGAGTGCTGTAATCTCACTGATGGGAACACTAAAGGATTACAACACGTGTCAAAACGAAAAGAGTGGTAACTAGTAAGCACCTCCCTTAACCAACTAACTTTTCAATCGTAAAACCTTTTAGGCTTTTTCATCAAAATAATAATAATAATAATAAATAAATAAATAAATAATTGTACTTGTGCATTCATTCATGAATAGTCTAATTCTGTTGTTAAAAATCATAATTAGTCCATTTAGCATGTTAAAAAATAATAATTCATAAAATAAGGAAAAAACTCTTAGCCAATTTTGTTTTAAAATAGTTTATAGTTAAGCATTGGTCAAAACCATGATTTTCACGAATTTGATAGAATGTAAAGTTAATATAATCATTGGTATCATTCACTTTTAAGTCCCATTCATTAGGATTAGCCCAAGGGTAGATGCCGTTATTCTGCCGAACTTTTGATGGAACCTAAAACTTGACAGTTTTGTATAACTATTTAAAAACATGTTTTTCAAATTAAGGGTTTTAATGAACCTTGTAAGTAAAATATCAATTTTTTATTTTAGTTTTAGTTCAAATGAAAGCCCCATAACATTATTTTAAATCATTTTTGCCAAAAAAAAGTTATAACTGCCAAAAAAAATTGTCAAATTTTGTTTTTTGAAATTTCCAAATAACATATTATTTTAGTAAAATTTCCATCACTTGTTCAACTTAAGAACATTCTGAAAATGATGTTTTATCACTTCAAAAAAGTCTTTTAATCATAGGTTCAATTCGAGTTTTTTGTGGAATTGTGGCAATGTCAATGTTTTACACTATTTTTTTTTTTAATAATCATTTTTCATCCTTCAAGTTTATTCATATTTTAGCATCATAACTAATCATTTAGGGTTCATTTATATTATATAAAAAAAAATAGTTTCATCACATTCATATGTACATATGTTAAGTGAAAATGCTGTCGAAATCCCGAAAAGGCTCCTTTTTTTACCAATAAAGTTTTATTTTTGAAATCTTTTCGAAATCAAATAATTTTTTTCACAATTTTCCAACATTTTAAAATTTATTTTGATTATGAAAAAATTATTTTTATAGCCCTTTTCAAATTTACAAATTTTTTTTTCAAAAATGAGAATTTTGGAAGTGATATTGTTTAACATAATGGGCATATTATTGCATAATTGCAACCAATCTTTAGGTGTATGTTTAGGACATATTCTTAAGCATCTATAGATTATTTAGGTTTTGATGATATCATTAAAATTTTATTCTTAGGTCCTTAAGACATTAACCTATGTTGGTATTCTGTCGAAATTTCGTCAAATGCTTCTCAATGCATAGTAATGCATCATTTTCAAAACTTTTAGAATTTTCATAAATTCTTTTAAAAGTTCATTGATATTCTTAACTCATTTATACATTCAAAATAATTCTTTTCAAGGTGTTCAAATACTCATTTTTTAAAACAAAACTTTGTCGAAATTGAGATAAGTACCATTATGTCAAAACATGTCTTTTTCGAATTACGTTGGATCTGAATCATTCATTTTCAGAGGAATGATATGTAGGTAACCTAAGGCCACACTTGGTTTGAATCCATCAAGGAAACAACTTAGGTTTGTTTCAATTTGATTTAGTATTAGTTTCATCGTAACGTGTGTAACATAGGTCATTTTGAATTGGTTAGTTCATATTGTCAAACTGTCTAAGTTGAGGTTTAGGCTAACAAGTCACATTCATTATGTCATAGTGCAATTGGATTCGGTCTTCATAATAGGTCTAATCTCATATCAAATAAGGCTAAGATAATAAAGAACCTCACAGGGTTCTACATGCACTTACACAACAAAAAAAAAAACTTAGAGAATCACATAAAATATTGGCAACCATACATATGTATGAATATATGGGGTGACTAATACCTTCCCCGTATATAATAAGACTTTTGAAACCACTAATCTAGTTCGTTAGACCATATGGATGTCATCACATAGGGCTATCTCATTTAACTTATATTCACATACTTTAGGTGAACATATGAATGTCATCGATATGGCTATCTCATTTAACTCACATTCGCATACTTTAGGTGACTTACCATAGTAAAACTCAAAGTTTGGTGGCTAATCCATTCTTTAGGCCTTATTTATATTTTATCGCATTTAAAGTCTTATTTTCTCAATAGCACCCTCATTCATATTATTTACATAACTATTCTCCATGCGAGGATGTTGCGAGAAAAATTAGGGTGCACATGCATCATATGACCAATTTAGGCCAAACATCTAACGTTAGCCACAACAATATATTTTGATGTGCATGTCTCAAACTCTATTTACTTTTATTGCACTTCAAATTACTTTATATTTATGCATGGATGATATAATGCTTCAAATGTGATTATCATATCGATATCAATCTGCATAAGTTTTTGTTTGTTTACATAATTTACCAGATTAGTCAAACTTCAGTTGTTAAGTTTATTTGTTTATTTGTTTATTGTTTTACAAGTTGATATAGAATTATATCATATTTAAAATTGGCGATATATAGAACCAAATAAATCTATGAATTGGTATAGGAGTGAATGTCATCTTAACAAGTGATATTAAAAATGTTAAATTGTTTAAAATATTGCTTGAATATTAAAATTACGTAAGTTTCTGCTGTAGACCTATGCACCTCCCTCTATGTCTGTCGTAGGCTAATCGTGATCATTTGATCTTACACACAATGTTCTTGATTTTTAATGTACTATCTTAGTCAAGACCTTTTTAGTTAATCTCGCTCCTAAGTTAATTGATAAAACTATCATATCAAGATTTGATTTCTCTCTTTCCCAGAACTCAATATTATGAAATATGAACTAGGGATCATCAACATGAAGGACAAGAATAATTAATAATAGTCAATTGCATATTGGAGTTAGAAAGAGAACAATTATAATGGGTGTTATGTAGTAGCATTCTTCAGCTCCTTGAAAAGCTTTGGCTCTCATTCATATACACT